GTGTTCCCTCCTCCACCCGAGTCCGGGGCCTACAGCCAGTCCCTGGCAGCGTGGGACCGGGCCCCACAGCTGACAGGGACCGTGAGCACCGGGAGCTGATCTCCTTCCCCTCTGCCCCAGCCATCCCACCGGTGATCATGAACGCTTTGGAGAAGAGAGCTTTCCTGAAGGTACTGCTGGTCTTGGGTGGGGAGGGTGGGCAGGGATACCCCCCTTGCTTGTCACAGTGCTGGCACCCCTCGGGGCTGGCACCACGTCTGGGAACAGACACCTTCCTGCCCCGTCCACCCCGGTGATGCGCAGCCTCTCCCTGTCCCCGCAGCGGTACCCGTACCTGAACGCTCCTCTGCAGGTCGGCCTGGTGGGACTCTGGTAAGTCACCCCCTGATGACGGGCATCACCGTCCTGGGTGCAGAGTGAGCCCGGGTGGTGCTGCTGAGGGGTCTGTTTGGCAGGGGAGGGGAGAGCCTCCTCGGGGGGGTGCTGGAGCTTGGCCAGGCTGGGGCAGATGGGATGGGATATGGGCCATGGGCTCCTGCTCAGCACTGCTGTTCCCCCACGCTGATGGGGACAGGCTTTGCCCCACTTCAGGAGCCAAATGCAGGGTCTGGAGCTTGGAGAGGGCATCTCCTTACTCCTTTCCTGCCTGAGCCCCTGGCAGGGCTCTGGGTTGCCTCCTTGCTGCCCTGGGGTCAGTCCACAGGTGGGAGTGGGTGATTTATGCAGCTCAGCTTTCTCCTCTCCGTGTCTTTCCCTTGCAGCTTGGTGTTCGCGACCCCACTCTGCTGCGCGCTCTTCCCACAGAAAAGGTAAGGACAGACACCTTGCCCCACCTGTGCAGCCCCGTGGGTCAGGGCATGGGGTGCAGGTAGGGGGTGCATGGGCTCTTTGTGCTCTCTGAGCCCCCAAGAGATACTTTTGCTCCTTCAAGTGGTCAGAGGCTTGAAACGGTGTGCACCCATGTCCCTGCACACAGGGTGCAGACCTTTGGTCTGTGCTGAGCCGTGGGGACAACATCCCTGGGGGGTGCAGGTGGGGAAGAGGTGGCAGCAGGTGGTTTCCCAGCCCGTGACTCCCAGCGGGTGTCCCCCTCTCCATCCCCTGCAACCCTTGCATCCGTATCCCCTTGGCAGCTCGATGCCCGTGAGCCGCCTGGAGTCTGAAGTCCAAGCTCGGATCCGGGAGAAAGACCCGCATCTGGAGACCGTCTACTTCAACAAAGGGCTCTGAAGGGGGGTCCCGGGGCAGCCGAGATAGGTGAGCTTTGCCCCTCAGATCCTTCGGAGCTGCTGCCACTTTCCCTTGGCCCCTTGCATCCGTATCCCCTTGGCAGCTCGATGCCCGTGAGCCGCCTGGAGTCTGAAGTCCAAGCTCGGATCCGGGAGAAAGACCCGCATCTGGAGACCGTCTACTTCAACAAAGGGCTCTGAAGGGGGGTCCCGGGGCAGCCGAGATAGGTGAGCTTTGCCCCTCAGATCCTTCGGAGCTGCTGCCACTTTCCCTTGGCCATTGCGCGTCCATAGGTCCCAGGGGCTCTGCTTTAGGTCCCAGGTGCTTGGCTCTGCTTCCCAGGATGCCCGCAGCCGTGCAGCACCGTGCCACGCCGAACCCCATCCCCGCACCCAGGCTCAGCCCTGCTCTGGGGACCCCCTGGCTGGCACCCCTGTGCGTTTCTCCCGGGGTCGCCTCGCGTGTGCCCGTAGCTGTGTGCCTTGTACAGGCACCGTGGATAGTGGCACCGGGAACCTTGTGAGAGGGGATGGGGAGGGGGTACAGAGAATGGTGCTCCTCAGCTTTAGGAGGCAGCAGACAATCATGGCATTTGAGGGCTGAACCCCTCTGCGCCAAGCCCCTGCTCTAATCCCCCGTGGTGCCGGGCACCTGTGTTCCCCGGCGGTGAGGTGACTGACCCCTGAAGGTGGCAGAGTGGCTTCTGGAGAGGAAAACTTCCCCCCCCAAAACCAGGGGTGAGTGATTTCAAGTGCACACAATGACTAGAAGCCTGGAGGGGCTCTCCCAGCCCAGGCGTGCCCTCTCAGTTCACCCTCTGCTCTCCTTTGGGCTGCTCCAGGGATTTAATCTGGTTTTCTCCTCCTTCCATCCCCAGAGCAAATGGCACTTTTTAATCCCAGCAGAGTCCCCGATTTTATTCTCATTTGAGTGCCAGCTCTGTTCAGGTCTGGGCTCCCTCTGAGGGGTCACTCTACCCCTCCTGGAGTGCTTGCTTTCAGGTGGACCTTCTCAAATAGCTTTAAGTGCACCCTGGTTTCCTCTAGTTATTTTTGATATACATATCATGTACCTGTATCATGTACCAAATAATAAAGGCAGGTTGTTTATACAAAACCAAAAGCGGAGAGAAGTGTGTTGCTTCCCAATCTGTATACGGTGGGAAGGGACTGGCATCGGGGTGAGGATGGGAGTGGGAGGGAGGGGCAGGTCAGATGCTGGGGTGCCCCTGTGCCCTACCCCCCCGAGACCAGGGTCTGCTCCCATTTCCCAGCCCGCTGCCTTTGCAGCAGTGCTGGCTGGCTTGGCATGTGGTTAAGCTCATCCAGCTGTCAGGAGGGCTTTTTTTAGCCCGGAGAGCTTTGCACCTCATCACCCTGCAGAGAGCTCTGCTAAGCTGCTGCCCTGGATGCTGCTGGTTTGGAGAGGCCGGAGCGTGTCCTCCCCCCGGGCTCTGCCCACACTCCCACCCCCTCTCATGGCCCACTCACAAGATACTCTGCTTCAATCCCCAGCCCCGGGCCTGCGCCTCCCCCTCCAGCGAGGATATTTTTATCCCACTTTCTATGCACGGCTATCGGAGAGCACGTCGCTGCTGT